AAGGACTTTTACAAACACTGAGAGAATAAATACTCTTAAGAAGTGGGAAAAGAGCACAGTCACAGTAGCCATCACCAACACAGAAGTAGAGGGCCTTGATCTCCATGGAGGTGTACAACAAAGACCATCTACTTCAACATTCATGAGGAACAACTAAAGGACCCAGAAACTGTTCTCTGGGTTTGAACTGATCTAAACCAACTGCATTTCTTCTTGTAATGTATAAACACTTAATCACAAAAGAGGTAGCAGGGAAAAATTATATATTTTTATTCATTTCAGAACGACCAAGTTTCCTGCCCTCTGATGCTCTCCAAACAGTTAGTGTTCGCCTACCACACACCACCTACATATAAATCAAGAAACAAGCAGAGAAAGGTCAAAGTCATCTCACACACAATGCAGAGAGGTCCCAAAGTACTGCCGTGTCCTTCACTGGCGACCTCTGAAGACAAAGCACTTGAACAGGACACCAAAAGAGATCTCAAAGCATATTCAGACCTTCCTTCTCCTGCAGGAGAAGGAAGAGCTGCAGGCCATCAGAACTGCTTTTGGAGAATCAAATTCTATTTTATAAAGGCACAGATGATATCATCTTTTGCTTTACTTTTTGTCTAAATACTGCTGGTTAGAGAGTCAGCTGATGGACCGTAAAACTGACAGCCCCATTACTGGCGCATATAAATTCCTTTTGCTCAGCTGGAGTTAATGTAGGACCATCTGACTTCCCAGAATTGACATTTTTAATGATTCTGTTTCTCCAACACTTTCTCACTGACCACTACAAAAATCCAAACTGTCTCCTGCTCTGCCAAGCTGTTTGTGGATCAAGTCACTTGTTCTCAAGGGATTTGCAGCGTGTCAGCCATCAGACCAAGCAAACTCAATAACTGACCTGAGAATAGCTACTCCAATACTTCTGGGCTCTTCTGTACCATAGATTTTAGCGTTAAATGTCAAAATTCTGAAGGCCAGAGGACAGATGCATCCCCAGGAGAAGGACCTATGTGCAAAGTATTTGGAAGATGGAAAATGTCAAGTGTAAAAGTTTGGTGCTTAGACGGTGTACCCTCATCTCATACTGCGTTGGGTACTGTTATCTTTCTCCAGGTCTTCCCTTCCTATGGCGTATCCCGGGTTAAGCAGAACAACTTCCCCCTCTAAACCATATTTCACTTGCACAAAATCGGAAATTCTTCACATCTCAGCACTATTTGGCGAGGGAAGGGAAGCGCAGAGCTCTCCCCTGGGATGCCCGAAGGCGCACGCCGTCGGCTGAGGCGGGGGAGCACCGTGCCCCTGCCCCAGCCGCATCCCGAAGAACTGCAGCATCTCCTCCTGGGGAACCCTCCCTCCAGGGGCTGCGTCTGGGGATGTCCAGTGGTTACGAAGCCGTCTTAAAATTAAAGTCAAGTTAATTTTAGCTTTAGAAGAAAAGCATTTAAAGGAAATGGATTTCAAAGAGGTAACTTTCCATAAACAGGACTTAGAGAAAAAGGGTTTCAAAGAGATACAGTCCATGCACTTCTCCAGCATATCTAAAGCTTTACGAGCCCTTCATGGTGAATCTGGTCTCTCCGGGCACTCCAGCAGCACAATGTGGGCAGCTCTTCTGGCCTCCTGCCAGGTTTGGGGGATTTCTTCTGTTCTTAACAATCCACCTCCTGACAACACAAGCTACACATTTTTTCACCCTTCCCGTTCTCCCTAACACACCCCACAAAGAAACGTGTAACTAGAACCAGGTATGGACAGAGGTAGGGACACAGCAGTAGCCCAGCGCGTGCCCTCACACCCCGGGCCAGCGAACCGGGGCAGAAGCTCCCGCCTGGCACAAGCCGGGAAGCGGGGAAGGGCTGCACTACTTGCAGCAGCATCTCGGGCAAGAGGAGCCCAGCACTGCCACAGAGATGCGACAGCATCTCCCATTCCCCACGCGCTCCCGGCTAACGAGCCCTTCGGACGCCCGCGTTCAGCTCCTTGCTTGGCCTCAGATTTTCAGTGTGAGCTCATGCAAGACCTTGGTTTTCTTTGTGTCTCTGTCTAAAATATAAATAATTTCCCTTCGTCTTAGGAGCATTGTGGGCATCAGCACATTGTAGATGGGGAAGGAAGCAATATCAAAGAGCCATTAAGGTTGTCTAGACAGAAAAAGAATAAATGGCTCTTTACATAAGTGTTTACCTGGTGCAATAAGAGGGGTGAGTCACAAGCAGCGAGACTGACCCCACCGCAGCCCCTCTTTTTTCTCCTGCAACACCACTGCACAGAAGTCCTGTTTAACTCCTAAAGATGAACTCAGCTCAGCCACAGCCTCATCCTCTCCCTCACAGCAGCTTGCACAAGCTGCAACATCTTCAAAATAAAAGGCAATCTGAACTACTTGGATCTGGTGACATGTAGCCCAGCCAGGCATTTGCAGAGAACGCAGAAATTCACCTCCACCCAGTCCTTCGGGTGCCCGGACTTGGCGCTCTGCAGCTGACCCAGCTTGACAGACTTCACAGGAGGCTTCTCCAATTTACATGAGGGTCAATAAAACATAAGTCAGGGAGAAAAATCCTGCCTTTTGCCACACAGTCAATTTATACCATGTCTGAAATTTTTGGAAAGACAGCCTTTCCAAGGCCTAAGAAAGAGAGAAGGTGGTGGAGGATGAAGGCTGCAGGACAATACAATATTAAAGATCAGAACCTGAACTGGGCCCGTTTGTTCAGAAGCAGCTCTCTGGAAGAGATACTGCAAAGTGCATCCTCCAGCATGGCTCTCTGCCGAGGGCAAGGACCCTTCATAATAGACGCTATCATGCAAGGAGCGTTAAAGCTACATCTTGTTTCATAGCCCAGGTCTGCTTATTTTTTGTGCACGATTATTACACCCCCTCCAACCAGACACGCTTACTGCACACCAGGGCCAGCTTCAGCCTCTGGTCACTGCTTTCTCACCTGCCTCATTTACCAGCACATCTGATCGGCATCTCCCACGCTCAGCCTCTTCCTCCAGCAGCCGTGACTCCAGTTCAGACCTGCATCAGCTGTGACCAGAGGTGCACCCGATGCCTTATGCAGAACAACCTCCTCCTTCGTAGCCCCAAAGTTCATGGCAACAGTCGATATGGTATAGAACAGCATCTTCAGCAGACTCCAGGCACCCTTCCAGACAAACGAACATTGCCCCCAGTGCCTGACCCTGCACCCCACCCTGGGAACAGAGCTCCTGTCAAACCCCTCCGGGGACCCAAACCCGATGACATTGCAGCAGCCACCCTAGCTGGGGACGGTTAAACGTTATCAAGAACCCTGAAGAGGTATCAGCACTATCTTCCCCCACGTTGCACAACATGATGCCTGGTGTGTGGGGACACACCTCAGAGTTTGCAAAACGCTGCCTCTCTTGAACACATTACAAACACCAGCACCCTGAGCCAGGGTTGACTAGTTCAGAGGCAAAGCTCTGCTAAGCCATCCATCCTGGTACTGAATCAGGCAAATATCTTTAGATGATTAACAGCTTAATGCTACCTTCTCACTACTGCTAGCAGTCAAACAGAGCTCACCGAGCAAGCCAACTGCACCCCTGAGTGCCGAAAATATGCTGCTCCTCTCGCGTTTTCTCTCGGGGCACCACAAAGATCCTGCACCAAGGAAACGAGTAAGAGAACACAAAGCTGCTGATGCGACTCTCATCACAACCCTATGTTACTTATGCGTTTATTCCAAGCCCTGTCATGTACCTCTGTAATCTGGTTTACCAAAGCCAACCAGAAAGCCTTAAAGACTTAGAATTATTCCCTTCACACAGCTCCTGTCCACTCTGATGAGATAAGAGGACACGTCAAATGGATCTGACATGGAAACCATCCAATATGAAGATTTTCAAGTACGAGTTAGTGGGACAGGGAGATGTCAGACCTGATGCAAACTCCATCTGCCATCCCACGGAGTTCTTGAAATAGTCTCTTTGACTTGATTCAAAGGAAGCTAACAACGCTAAAGCAGGCTGGAAACAGCATTACAGGGGAAGAACCACCAGGTTAAATCAGAATGAAACATCCAGGGGAAGTAACAGTTCTTGTAACACAACATATAGAAGAGTTTTGGGTTTTCTTTATTCGATGAGCCTCTCAAAACAGAGTTCTCTAACAGTCAGACACAGAGACTTTCTGTATAGTCGTGGTTCAGCTCCCACCAATTTACCTAAAAGGTTTCCACTGCTTTTGATGGGGCTTGGCTTGGAAATTGAGTGTGCTTGAAAACGATCCCAGTGCCCCCAGCCAAGCTGGGCAAGTTCCCCTCTAAACTTTGCCTTGTCTCACACCAGCTTTGGCTTGCATCAGATGGACATCACACACATAAACACTGATAAGCTGCTCCTAGGTGGAATAAATTAGTCCAGCCATAAAACACAGAACCTATACATACA